CCCCACCCCCAACTTCCTGAGAGTTGGTTGCTGTCAGCTTGCTGGGTAAACCGTTTTTTTCCCCGGTTTCAAATCAAAACTTCCCCTGGGTGGGGTTTAGGGGAGGGAAGCGGAGGGGGAGGGCATGTCCTGGAGGGTTGGTGTGCTTTTCTCTAATAACTCCTTTTTCCCCAACCAGAAGCAGTCAGTTCCCTGCACCCAGCACCTAACAGCCCTTCAGCTTCCGCCCGGCGGGGCGGCCAGCTAGGCAGCTGTCGGTGGAGCGGCCCATGTCAGACGCAGGAGAGGCCCTAGCTCCGGGGCCCCAAGAAGGCGCCGAAGCTGGCGGTGGCTGCCTGGGCGCCCCCGCTCAGGGTGAGTGCGCGCTTGCGAGTTGCAAGCTTCTTTGTTGTTGCATTTTAAAATTTGTTCACACATTATCGATTGGAGTGTGTATATAAGTGCGTGTGTGCCGGGGTGCGGTGAGGACATATACCTAGCTCATAGTTGTGAACTTTTTGCACAATGTTACTCAAAGCAAGTTCTCCAAGATTCCTGCCCTAGATCAACAACCGGATAAGAGGGCGGGATCCGCTGGTTCCTCCACTCCCCCTTCATTTGGCTGTGGAGAAACCGGATGACCTGATTGCTTCTCCCTTAAGCTTATGCATTGATGGGCCTCGAATATGTGAGTTCTGAAGCAATTTTCCCTAGGTCGCTTCAGTTTTTATGTCTTCATCAGTTCCAGGCACGCCTCTGTACCCTGAACAGTATGCATTCCCTTCATCTTTCTGTTTCTTGTGGGCTACTCTGCAACTCGGTTTATAATCCAGGTTTCTGTGACCTATTACTTTGGAATGGCTCATGCATACGTTTTCAATAACTGTTTTGTTTTAAAAAAAATCTTCCTTTAAAGAAACACTTTCCAGGAATGAATTACCTCCTTTGTGTTCTTCCAAAATGTCAACACATGCAGACTATAAGAGAAAATACTTTTGTTTCTGAGAAACTTCCATAACAAGCTTGTAAACAACTCAGATTGTCTTTCTGCTCTTAAAGGTAACAACAGGTTTTCACTGGTGACCATGAAAGAGAAAGGGCCTTACTCTTCTGATGTATTTTCCTCTTAGGGTGGTTCTTATTTAAAGAATTTTGATACTGATATGAATTCAATAATTTTCCAGAGCTCAAAAACCTACTTTATACTCTTGATTTTAAGTCTATCTGATAGCTTCCCCTCACCTCCTACCCCCTTTAACGATAATGTAATGGGATCTTTGGCATTTTGTTTTAAAGGGAGCAAAAAATAGGTAAAAGCAGGAAACATCCATGGCTGAGTCAAAATGTTCTTGCATTCAGGGCTGTTAAATTGAATTATGTTTATCATTGTTGTGTGTTTTTTTGCTTTCAAACAGGGAGTCATTTTTTCTAAACAGACAAAATAGAGAAAATCAGAGAAATAGAATGATAAACATGTTTTTCCCAAAGCAGCCTCTGTTCTGCACATTATATTGCCAATACAATCATTTTCCTGTCCTTAAGCATGTCCCCTGTAGTCACAGACTCACTGATGGGCTTTTTATGTTCACAGTTTAGTTGTTAATCACAATTGTTAAACAGTGCTTACTTAATTCAAAAATCAACACCAAGCACACTAAAAAAACAATTGATTTAGGTATTTTTGATGCCTAACATGTCCAACTTTAATAGTTTACATTTTTAAAATCACCTAAAAGACCTTGCAGTAATACTTAATGTAACTGTGCAGACACAATGCTGTAAGATATCACATGATCTGACTTTTAAGAAGCAGACATGTAGAATGGTGTGAATGTTGGCTTCATATAACATGCACAGTATCATTGTGGAAACTCTTAGGTTAGATTTTAACTGGAAATTGTCTTAACCTCAGCAACAAAATTGTTCTTTAAATTAGTTTAACTTTGAATCACAACATTCTTTTGAATAGATGGATATCAATTTAATTTTAAGTAGAAGGTAAAGTTGTGTTTTTTTTTAATACAATTATCTGGATCTTGTTAAAATGCTGTGTCTCAAACAGGCAGATTTCATCAGGTATACTGAAAGAAAAAGAATTGTTGAAGAGAATGGTGAGAGAAAAATCTTCAAGATGTAGGCTTCCCTGGTTACTTTGGTTTTATTGGTAAACACATTGTTGAAGAAGGTTTGCTAGCAGGCCACTCCACTCTTAAGCGCTTTCTCAAATTCTTTTATTCTCTTCCTATATCCTGGGATTTTTTTTTTATCATCTTTTCTGAAGAATAGCTTAATAATTCTCTGGTAAGATGTGACTGCTTAGTTAATTGAAATTAATTAAAAAATTAATATATTAAAATCAGTGAGAAAAATGGAGTTTTATGAAACAAAATATCTTTTGCAAAGTTAAATATATGTATGAAGACATATGATATTATAACCTACACATGAGCTCTCTATACTGCTAACCAAAGACAGAAAACTTTAAAGTTGAAGGTAATTTTAGGGGTCTCTAGTCTGAACTCTCCCTCAAGTCTAGAACTCATTTCTACATTCTTTTAGTTGGTTAGTTAGAAAGCTATAGTGTAGTGCATTCTACCGCATTCAGAATTATGACGGTTTTCCTGATTGCAAACATAGCTCTGTCTCTCTAAAATGTCTACCCTTTTGCTGTGATTCTGCAAGCAAATTTCTATTGCTTTGAAACTATTAAAAAAATCTTTTCTATGAATTTTAAAAATTGTTACAAAGCAAGGACATAAGCTCATATACTCCATTCTGTAGGAGGGAACCAGGATGGTTATCAGAAGGTAGAGAGCAGTGGGGATTTTGGGCCCGTGGAGAGTTCATGGGCCAGGAGGAGATACTTTTCAGCTCCAGCTCACCTTTGTCATTTAAGTTAATATTTTCCAATGTTTCAGGAGATACTTGAAATCTGGATTTTTATGTTTCATATCTCGTATTTTAAGAGTTGGCAACTAATTAAATACAATTACTATCTAAGCCAAGCAAAACAAGCACATCTGCAAGCTGGAAATGGCCTCTAAGCAGCTGATTTTGATCTCTGTTACAGAAAATAGAAAGTAAAGGTACAATTTAAAACTATTTCCCTGTTTGTGACTAACTTCTGAAAGGCTGACTTGATTTGTGGGCTTATGCAAAGTACCTACGTAAGTATCTTGATAGGTGAAGGACAATTTGGGTCAAGTTTATTTTTGTTTTAAGAGAGAATGGATCGTGTAAACATGGTCCATCTAATTTTTACTTTTTGGATTAAGCATCTTAAAATTCACTGTTATCAATACTGAAAATACAAGTATTTGTATTTTTTGTGTGCTATAGTTACTAGAATCCATATAGTTGAAAGGGCCTTTTAATTAAGTGATTCACTTGTAAACTTGCAACTTTTAACTAGAAGGATCTCTAGAAATAATTTAGTTTAACTGGCCCATTTTTTGGAAAGGATACCCAGAGAACTTAAGTGACTTGCCCAAGGTCTCATACACAGTCACTAGAAATCAGGGTGGAAGCACAAATTGTAAAGTATATTATATGTCATTGTGATAAATGTGTTTGAGGCAACTTTTTCCTACAGATGGATGAATTAAAGATAATGGGGTTTGGGTACTGTGAATCACTTGAGCTTGTTCCCATCCCTGCACACCCCACCCCCACCTCATTGCATTTGTCAAGACTGAGACTGTTGGACTGGAGTGCTGGAATATACTTTAATGTGATAATGTGTGATTTAATGCATTCTTTTCTCCTGGGAGAGTCCTCTGAGATTATTAGGCAGCCTTTTCGTAGCAGGATGCAAAATACCAGTGAAGTTAATTAAAAATAATTTAAAATGGAAACTAGGGAGAAAATCTTCAAGTTGAAATTACATGGGAAGAGATTTGACTTAGAAGTTTAGCTGAGTTGTCAGGAATTTATAGTGGTTAATCAGATTTCCTTTATGAGAAGGCTGTTTATTTCACTTTCTCCAATTTATGCTTATAATATCCATATTCTTTTATCATATTTTATCCATTTGATTAAGGGTGGTATTTCTCAAAGTGTGTCATATTTGGTCTCTGGTTCTCAATTGGGGAAGATTATGCCCTCTAGAAGATAATTGGCAAAGTCTGGAAACATGTTTTGTGGTCATAACAGGGAATGAGGTGGTTGCTTCTGGCACCTAGTGGGTAGAGGTCAGGGATAATGCAAAACATCTTACAGTGCACAGGGCAGGACAGCCCCTCACAACAAAGAATGATCTGGCACAGAATGTCAATAATGTTGAGATACTACCCTAATTTCTCAAGGCCACTGGCATTGTTGGCTCTGAATCTCCTGGTGTAATACTCAGAAATCTGCATTGTTTTACAAGTTGCAGGTGCTCTTTATTTCCCCTTGATAATCATTGTGTTAGAGGCTTTTATCTGTAGAAAGACATGCTAGCTTCATAGTTTTTTTTTTTTTTAAAGTAGACAAGCTTCAAAAAGCTTTTAAAAAGTCCCCTTTTCAAGTTCCAAACTTTAAATCATATCATTGCAGGTAAGTATATTTTCTATTAGTGCAAACTCCAGCACTTTCATCACATGCTCTAATTTAAAAAAAAATAGTTCTGAGTATTCATCCTCAAAAAAGTTTCTTTTCAAAATTATATGTACTGAATATGAACATATTTGGAACATTAGCAAAATATACAGAAATAAAAATTAAAAAGAATGAGATAAAAGTAAGTAAATAAATAGATTTGTTATTTGTTCCTTCTACCACCTCAGTCGATATTCTTGTTCTGCCCTCCTATACTTCTCTTTGGTGATCCCAGTATTATGGCATAATAAGGAAAGAAGTCCTTAATTTGCACATGAGTTGTGGTTATTTGTGAGTTGGATTTTTGGAACCTGGATTATCTTTTCTCATAGAAACAGTGATAAATTATATTTAGTTCCATAGTAAATCTCAAAAGATTGTTGAAATTAAATTTTATTAAGTTTCATATGTTTACAATGATAAATCGTAGAGAACATAATACTGGCAACCAAATATGAATAACCAAAAATAAAACTAAGTTGAATAGAAACTGTTTTGAAACACTTTTGAATATAGGAGCTTGAGCAAGGGCAGGCTTAATTAGAAAACTATAGAAACGTGTCTAGATTTGGAAGATAATTTAGCGACATTTTTAAGTACCTTAGAACTTACACCCCCAATTCCTTTCTATGTCTAAAAGAACTAATGTGTATTTTATAAGTTCAGTTATAGAAGTGCAAGGCTTATCAGCTAAGCATATTCATTTTCTTTTTGCTAAGAAAAAGAATCGTGTGAGTAAGAAGAGGGTGCAGCTGGGGAAAACTAAGAGGGGGAGGTGGGAAGAAGGAAGTGATTAAATAAGATGCCTATACATTTAAGAAAGCATTTGGAAAGGTTGAACTCTTTGAGCTGAGAACTGTGAAAAAAGTTCTAGGGGATAACATGGTATGAGCTGATCTGGCAGCTCACATGTTAAGGAAGTAGATGATGGGGTAAAATCTTGAGTTAGGTAGGTAGCACTACTAACCTCAAAACAGGTCCTAATATATATTTGTGGAATACATGATTGGGTAAATGGAGGGCTTGATTGCTATCTAGAACAAGTGTGAGTGAGTGTAGCAAATGGCAATGAAAAGAAACAGTTTTGTCAAGGTCAGGGTGAAGGATGGGAATAGGAAAAGCATTTATCTGAGTGTTTGTAATTCAGGGCACTTGTATATAGAGGTTTAATTTTAGTACTGGTTTTCATCACTATGTCTCTCTTTACATTGTTTATTTCTGTCCTACTGAGATGCTGAGATGCTGTGTAAATGTCATTATACACACACACACACACACACACACACATATATAGTGGGGGGGAATGAATGAATGAATGAATGAACCCTGATAGATAACAAGTACCGAGAGAAACAGATTGATGAGTGAAATCTGGGGCTTGCAGGATGATGGGAGAAACGCATACATTCATGTACCTATAATACAAAGTAGACTGATCAGTGCTATAATAGAGGCACAAAGAAAGTGTGATGGCAGAACATGGGAGAGACATCATCTCTACCTGGGCCATTTGAAAAAACTCTCAAAGAAAATATTTGATTTGAATCTGACCAAGAAGCATGGTCATAGGACTCAGCTCTGTGGAGATGGATAATCAAAAGCAAGGCTTGGAGGGGATTATTACAGAAGGCTAAATACTTCACCAAGAAGTTGTGTGGGCTGTATGAAGGAACAGAGGAGATAAAGTTGTAAAGATAGGTTAAAGTCATTTTGAGGATGGCCTTGATTCCTCTGCCAAGGAGTTGGCATATTCTTTCCCTAGACAAAGTGGTAGGTAAGCTCGTAAAAGTTCTTGAATCAGAAAGACAGGACCCAGATGGGGCTTTTAAGAAAATAAAACTGGTGGCAATTCAAGGGATGATTTTGGAGGGTGTAAGAGTAAGGCAGTGATTATTCAGGAGGATGTTACAATAGCCTGACAAAAAAATAGAGGACCTAGGGCAACACCATCAGGACTGGAATTGAGAAACCAGATTTAAGAACAATAGCAAAAGTAGGATAGAGCTCTACCTAGCTGTGAGAGCCCCCAGAGGGCATTGATTTTTAGTTATCCACCTTTCAATTACCTAAAACCATCACAGTATCCAAATCATATTGAATTGAATTAATATGGTTGGGCAATGTATTTAATATGGGAGATGGTGAAAAGGTAGAAGTTTAAGGTAATCTGTAGGTTTGCTTTTCACCTTGAGTGGAAATGTAGCAGTAGCTATTGATTTTCTTTTAATTATCTTGGTTTTGTTAATGAAAGAAACATTCAAACCTGTGAAGAATTTTTGTGAGTTTGAGCCAAACTGTCTACACTTGCCAGGAAGAGAATCTCAATGGATTGAGATAATGCTCTAGAGAATGACAGTTTTTCACCTTGCTTTATAGATTACAATCAAAAGAGGAGACATAGCGGGTTACATGAAATCTATTGGAGACACATTTAGGGAGGGGGGAGAAAGCAACACTATAGCAGGGGTTGTCTCTGGGATTGGATACAAAGTAAAATGATAGCTTCTTTTACTTAGGTGGGTGTGGGATAGTTATCAGTCAACAATTAACATGATAACGATAATGAGGGGCTGTTTGTGGTCTCAGCTCTAAGCTTTGAGGGCCTTGGGGGAAAAGGGGAAATTACTTTGTTTTGCAAAGGTATGTTAATCAGGTATGTTATCTCAGATGCAAAAAGAAAAGGGACTGGTTTAGTTAAGGTGAAGATTTTCCTTTGTTCAGGGAAAAATACAACCTTAGGACATGACTACCCACCATAGACTTCTGTTAGTTTAAAAATGTTTTAATTTCAAACCACCCTTTTTGGTTACTTTAGGTCTCTGAGTTTGCAAGACCACCATGCAGGCCTTCCCTGAGCTTGTCAGGTTTAGCATATGGCACCTTTTTATCTACAATTCCACAGAAGTTACTGTAGCCATGATAACAAGTAGGCCATGGAGAAAGGGAGTTTGTAACTAGGAGAGTGGTGAGGGTTAAGATCAAGAGGAAGAATTCAGATAGCTGATGGTCTTGAACTAGAGTGAGAAAGGACTGAGGACCAAATTTGGAGTAATGACTATAACTTAGGACGGAGAAGGAAAAGAATACAGAAAAATAGTCTATTAGGATTGGTCACAGTCTATTTAGTGGTTATGGAAGACGAGAAGAGTTGTTCTGTTAAGGAAGAAACAAGCTGTATAGAAGGCTTCTTTTGGATGTGTGGATTTTGAGCTTGCTCATCACACAATGGAAAGAAAGCTAGGGATAGAGAGAGATTAAAGGGGAAAGTGCACCAGGTTGAGTGATGGTGTGGTAAGTATTTTTAATTGAAAGAGTAGAATTCTGGGAAGGAGTGGGATTCTTAGGAAAGTTGGGAATGTTCCCCTTTGAACTAGGGATGGGAGAAAAGGATGAGCGGTAATCTAGAGGAAATTTGATATGAAAAAGAATATTGAAGGGGGTTAGGATAAGTCAAGAAATTTAAGATGTGTAGAAAAGATCTGGAAGAATGAAGAATTCAGGAGGGATTCAATCTGGGGCAAACAAAAGGGCTGCTCAGTAACATTGAGGACTTAGCTAAGAATGAGTGGTATGACTTTTTAGTGGACACAGTACGATTGCTTTTCTCAGCAAGGAGCATACAGGAGCTTAGGAATAGAAATTAGATTTTTGCAATTTGCAGGGTTGTAGGTTGGCAGAGTGGTAGCAGTTGGGGGACAAGGGAGGAGGGTCATGCATATGTGGGAAGAGTGTGTATGTACTAATTGATCTTGTGTTTCAGGCTGTTTTGGGAGCCAAAGGAACCAGAAGTGCAGTGGGTTAAGATTTCTGGCCAGGAAGAATCATGCCTTGCTGACCTTGTTTGGTTAGTTTTCATTCAAGGATTTAATATATATAATTATGTGACCTTTACAGGGCTCCTGGGGAAGCTGTGGAATGTCCTTTTGTGTGTGTAAGGGCCTTTCCTGTTTCTTTTAACTTTATTTCCTGGATTTTGTTGAAGTGATTTCATGGAAAGGTCTAATAACAGTGCAGTTATTTTAGTAGCATTGTATTTTTTAAAAAATATGTTTTTATTGATTTTAGAGAGAGAGGAAGGGAGAGGGAGAGAGAGAGAAACATTGATGTGAGAGAGAAACATCATCTGATTGCCTTCTGCACACACCCCCACTAGGGATTGAACCCTCAACCTGGCTATGTGCCCTGACAGGGAATAGAACTGGTGACCTTTAAGTACATGGGATAATGCTCAACCAGTTGAGCCACACTGGCCAGAGCAGTAACATTGTATTTTTATAATAATAAAAGATTAGGGGAAAATATGGAAACATAAATTGACACAATCTAAAATTATGTCGTTTGCAAATGGAAAATTAGTAGAACAACAACAAACAAAAGAGAGAAACCAACCAAATTGTCTTTCTAAGTATAATTATTCTACTGTGTAAAGGCAGGGGATGTGATTTTTATGTTTTTATTTCCAAAAATCTGTATTCAGTTTGTATTAAGGGAGCACCTATTCAGCACTGACTAGATTCTAGATGTGGACAATTTAACTTCAGCAACTTGTTTAATTAGGATTAAAGATGCTGCAGCCCGTCCTGTGTCTTGATTAGTCGATGCTTGCGTACTAGTATTTTGGATGCCTCTCTCTCCCCCTTCCCC